GCTGCGGGAGCTGAGGTTGGGGCAGCTGGGGGAACTATTGCTGATATTGATACTGGGAGACCTGGTGCAGTACGTGCTGTTGATAGAGCTGAAGTTGTTGGAACTGTTGCATTTGAGCCTGCATGGCTCTCATAAACTTCATCAGGTCCTCCAGCTGGTTCGGGTTGGCCACTAGGGGCACGGCCGAAGGTTCGGTGAACGTCATTCCGACTGTAGCAGGGAGTGGGGTGACGACAGGTGCCATTGTGATCGGCACGTTCAAGTTGGGGATTCCGTCCGCTGAGAGGGAGACGGTGAACTGTCCGATACAGACAGTAGGAAGCTGGGGTTGCTCCCTAGAGTTATCCATTTCCGTGCTTCGTCCGACGTTGCTGGAGGAAGCCATGAGCGTTGGATTGTTTCGAAGAGGGAAAGAACTGAAAGAGTTTAGAGAGAAAGGCCTTTTGAAGCGTTTCCCACAGACGGCGCCAAATGATGGGGCACGATCCAAGCACTCCTAGCTGGCTGCTAACTGGCTCATTGTTGGCAACGGACGACACCTGAGAAGATGGAAATGAAGGATTCCTGGGGATTTTACCCGGTGGGAATACTCCAATGCTTAAGTTAGAACGCAAGAAAGAAGGAAAAGAAGAGTCGGTAGCTAAGAGTGTAGGTCGTGCTTTATCACTATACTCGAGAGATTAGAGGTCTCAAGAAGAAGTTTCTCTTCTGCCCTGAGGGCTTTTATAGGGGCGCTCTTGTCAGATCGGGCATAACCACCACTGGTCCCCTGCCACAGCCGTTACCTGCCAAGGCTACGCAGGTGGCCGTTGTGACGTACTCCTCGCCCGGGTGAGTGACACGTCTCCAAAGTGACAGGCACGCCTCTGCCTACTGAGAGACGTGGCATAACCGCCACTGGTCCCCTGCCACAGCCGTTACCTGCCAGGGCTGCGCAGGTGGCCGTTGCGACGTACTCCTCGCCCGGGTGAGTGACACGTCTCCAAAGTGACAGGCACGCCTCCGCCTACTGAGAGACGTGGGTGCAGACTGTCGAAAGGACAAGGGCTGCGCCGTCAGTAAGGGACGTGGCGCAGTCTGACTGGTACGACCTGTTAAATAAAAGCTTCCTGAGGAATTCTCGTGCGGCCCATTCGCGAGCTACTTTGCAGCGAGCTTGGAATACTTCAAGAGTACCCTTAGTAAAATTGGTCCTCGGGATGACTTGTCTGTTTGGGAGCTCGAGCGAGCTGGTTTTCTTAGCTCGCAAGTTAAAGTTGCCTCGGAATGTCCCTTTAGAGTTAGCTCAGGGAACCCGGAGCTCGCGTTGTGGCGGGCTCCTCCTTTTGCGTGCTACAATGTAGCGAGCTGCTCTATGGGCCCGTTACTTATTTGTACTAGACCGCAATGCTGAGCTGTCGCTTACACTGAGTCAGTGTCCACGTGTCACCGTTTAATATATTGGGTCAAATCATCCTTCATCAATAATAATAATAATAATAATAGTATACACTTTACAATTACGCAATCTCCATTATGCCCCTAACAGTCTAACCAGCTACGAGCCTGACTGACGGCGACTTCTCCGTCTATGATTATCCCATAACCTAACAACGCTGCCGTTTAGCATCGTTAAATCCTGATAATGGTACCAACCCAAATCTCCTGTATTGGTAGTCCCCAGTCCCACCCAAATGCTTCCAGTTCCACCTCGTTGCAGCTGCTCCTCAACGCCCCATGTTGCTTCCCACCAAACGCCACCGTTGCCATCAGCACCCTGGTCATCCAAGCTCTCCGTTGGCGTAGATTCGTCGTCGTCGAGATCCTCGTAATAAGAGAGCGTAATCTTTCCTCCATTTGTCCTGTTGTCATCTGCATCTGCAACGGCGCAAATAGCCGTTGATAGCTGCGTTGTTGCGCAAGCGCTAGCTAGAGATGGCTTATCCACCAGCAAAGATGGTTGAGACGATTGTTTAGAGGAGTCTGAGTTTGAGGGCGTTAATTCTGAAGATGCTCCATGCAGAAGATTGGGAAGAGAAGAAACTACTTGCAATTTGGGAGGGTGAGAATGGGAACCGGCTGCTCTGACTTTCCAAACACTAAAGGCAGCGGTTAAGATGGCAACCCAAGCCAATAAGTTGTGAATTGTTGATAGGAAACCGGCACTGACATAGTTATAGAGCAGAGCTTCTAAGGGAGACCCCAAAACGTCCATGGCCAACCGCTTGAGAAATGAGATTGATCTATTTCTCTCTCTCTCTTTCAGAACCAACTTTCGTGTTCCGACCAGAACCTGCCTCTCACTCGTTAGAGATTTTATATATAAAGCAGGGGAGAGGTCCAAGATTTTAATGGCGGGCGAAGGAATCTGATAGAGAGATGCCGGGAATCGAGAGCAGAGATGCTCGGTAGATCCAAAGGTTATGCCGAATTTACAATTTTGGTGACTGTGAGTTGCGTCAAATGTCAGAGCGGGGCCCACCATACATTAGGAACATATCCCGTCAATAATAACAAATAATTACCGAAGATGTTCACAATGCATGATAAGATGTGCGTTGCGGGTACCCTCTTTCGAAACACCATTCACAAATAACAGCGTGCGCGCGTCAGCACTCAGCACTCAGCACTAAATAGAGGCATGTATCATCTTCGAAACACCACTCACAAATAAACACGTCAGTGATAAAATATACTGTTGACACTTGGCAAATATATAATTAACCGGCGTGTTTAAGGCAGTTTTTATATCCAGGTTTCCTCATCCTCGATTGTAGGGATGTTGATGGGTCCGGTTGGATCAGTTTACTAGTGTTTTTTTAATTGATTCGACTTGATCGGGTTACCTATAGATTAAGCCGAAGTCAACCCTCTATTAAGTAAAACTGACCTGATCAGTTTGAGTCGATTTGGGTTGGTTTGGGTTTCAACCAACTCCAAGCTTGCACAATGCACATGAAGTCAAAGTGCTAATATTATATATAATATTTTAAAATATATTTTTCTGGAAATATATATTTAAAACCAAAATATATATTTTCTAATTTCTGGAAATATATATTTCGGAAATATATATCTGATATATTTCAGAATATATATTTATTATTTAAAACTAAAATAGCTATATTTAATAGATATTTTTTTTGAATATATATTTTTTCACATAACTTGGTTTGGTTTTGGTTTTCACATATGAAAACCGAAACCGAACCAAATTATCGGTTTTTTTATCTTTACAACCCAAAATCGACTAGTAGTAAAGAAAAACCGGCCAACTTTGGTTGGGTCGGGCCGAGTTGGTCGGTTTGGATTTATTTGTGCACAACCCTACTCGATTGAGAAATATCTACTGCAGCAATGGGCGTAGCGTTGGGCTAAAACCTGTGAATCACACACACAACCTTCAAATTTCAATAAATGATATTAGAGGTGTAAAGCGTGCCGGGCCAGGCCGTGCCGTCCTGGCCTGCGGGCCATGCCGCCCTCCCCAGTGAAAATTTTGGGGGTCAGCCTGGCACGACCACCCGTGGGCCGAGCCTTCGGCCAGGTTGGGCCATGCATCAGGCCAAAGATATTTATTTAAAAAAAATTGACAAAAAACTTAAAATTTTAATTTTATATGAATTTTGTGTATAAATTTGCTTATATATATACAATAATTAAATAAATTAGTACAATAAAATACAAAAAATATTTATTTTATTAATATATTATATACTATATATTATTATATAATTATAATTTATATAATATTATATAACTATATATAAAATATATATATGGGCCATATCGGGCCGTGCTCGGTAGGGCTGCAGGCTGGACTGTACCGTCCTATGAACCTAAAACCCCAGGTCCTGTATGGTCCACATAGTCATACCGAACCTAGCATGGCCTGTGGACCCTCGTACCGAGCCATAGGCAACACGGCCCGATTTACACCTCTAATTGATATGAGTCCACCTTAAATTGGGATGATCCCAAAAGGCCGTGATTTCAAGTTCTAGCCAAATCATCATGTGGAGTGGGGCAAATAATTGAAGTCCGAATTCACCTCCACCAATTCATGTTGGGGGCTGTTGGCCGGTTGGCGCTCAACAGCCAAAGTTAACTCACTAACAAATTAACACGTCAGATTCTGATGCAATTGTGAATACGAATTACTGATATTATTTTTTTTGTAAAAATACGAATCACTGATATGTTTAGCGTATATTTGGCATCAATGTCGTTACTCAAAAAAAATAGTGACACATTAGTGTTACATTGCAAAAAACAGTGCACCATTAAATGTTTGGAACCTTTTTTTTTATAAAAAATAGTGCTCCAAGTTGTGCCTTGAAAATTGAGAAGTCATAGTTTGAAGCAATATTTAATTCAACATTTTTTCAGATTAAAGCTTGTTGTTGCCCTGTAGCAATGATGTAGACTTTCTATAATGGGTACCATTGTTGAAAACAGATATGGAGCACTGGTACTAAATAGAAGGTGTTGTTATTGCTCTAAGAAATGTCTTATCCGATAATAACATTTTCAAAAAAAAAACAATATTTTTTCAGAAAATGATACTTTTAACCCACACATCAACAACACCATTTTCTGAAAAAATGGTATTATTGACAATCCGATTCTTTAATTCAACAAACGGGTGGTTTTGATTTTTGAATAACCAGAAGAGGCGAAAGGGAACTCAGCTTCACTCAGTGCAAGGTCCATTCGAACGGACTTTATGATCTTGCATTGCCCATGAAATAAAATATATAGGCATGGAGATACTTCCAATGATTATAAAGGCTGTTCAAACGGGCGTTATATTGACCGAAGCCAATCTTGGCAAAAGAGATAAGGGGTAATCATTTTCTGACTCGGATTGGACTTTGTTATTTTTTTGTTCAAGCCCAGCCCTTAAAGTTTGTCCTGGGCCTGGCCCATGATCACCACTGCAAAGAAAAGAAAGGATGTGCTGCATATAACGTGGGTTCCTATAAGAATAGGGTGAGTAGATCCAATAATTGATGCATGGAAAACCTATCCTTGTATGGATTTGAAATCAGGACTTATTAGAGGGAGAGGTGCTGAGTGACCAACTATAAGTATTGGGTCATTGGTTAATCTGAAAATTAAATTAATAGAACTATTGACTATTAAGACAATACCTCATACATAACTTGATAAGCTGACATAACTTCATTATTATATTAAATTATTTGTATATGTCATATGTGTTTTTTATGGACATTATGTATATAGTATTACTTTTATTTTCTAGTAGTAATTAAGTAATTTATTACATAAAAATAGGGGTGTGAACCATTGAAAATTGGGTGCCTCTGTTTTTATCTTTTCATGGCCACGTGATTCTCAATATGACGATGACAAAAATTAAATTAATTGTTACCGTAGGCACTTATTTTTTCTATATTATTATTATTATTAAGAAATAAATGAGATTTGATGAAAATGCAGTACAATTAAATATTAATTTCAGGTACTAACAAGGATTTAGGTATGTTTGATTGTACTTTTCAGACATTTAAATCTGAAAATGTTGTTTTTTTGACACCACCTTTGTTTGGTGTTGTATTTGAAATAGGGTCTGAAAAGTTTTCAGATATTAGCACTCAGACGCGGCCTAAAGTAAAAAATTCTCTCTCCATTCGACATCTCTCTCACTTATTTATACAAATCTCTCTCTCTCTCTTGCTCTCTCCCCTGTCTTCCCGCCACCGCCACTGCAACTTGCAACGGTGACTCTCTCTCCCCCCCTTCTTCCCGCCATCCCCACGCATGCTCCCTATAGTTTCACAGATTTTGGTGCTGAATGGACAGGATGCCTGGATGATTGGCGCTCGGTGCCTATGTTATCTATCTTGGGTGTAATCCTATTGCTTGAAGTTCAAAGAAATAAACCACCATAACACGATCCAACACTGAATCGGAATTTTGGTCTTGTGCTAATACAGCCACTGAAGTGTTGTGGGTGCAGTTGTTGTTACGTGACTTAGGTCATCTTCTTCCTCAATCACCCATAATCTGGTGTGATATATAGGAGCAACCTGCCTGGATTCAAATCCAGTTTTCCGTGCCAGAATACGCCATGTGTTAAAGTTGACTTTCACATTTTACGGGATAATTCTTATGAAGTCCCTCCAGGTTCATTTCTTCAGGAGATCAAGTTGCAGATTTGCTTACCAAACCCTTTAGTGGTGCACGATTTACTAAACTACGGGCCGAGCTTCAAGTGCTTCTACACCTTTTCGCTTTCTAGTCATGCTTCAACTGTACTGTTGTAATCCTTTTTATCTATGACTCTTGTAATCCATCTTGGACTTCTATCATTGTAAATCTCTACCATTATAAATATATATCCAATGGTTCGGCTACAGCAACTACCCAGAACCTTTCCTTTGTCGTTTCTTGCATCTAGTTCTCTAGTTGGGGCTGGGCTGGGAGCCAAATGGAACCCTTGCGATCAGCTTTCAGCATTGATCTCATCGTAGGCGACTAATTAAGCTACGTCTGGCTCTGGGATACCAACCGTTGCTGGTGAAAACGAAAACAAGAAACATATGCTGTGGAAGTGGAACTAGTACTATACTACTTCTACCTCTTAATTTGTAGTCAAATATGACTCCAGTGTCATTGCACATGGTCATGGTGTACCAGCCAAGCTGGTAGCAATAAGTCGATGCTTCTGGGAGTTTTCGTTCTTTACTGCCGCCGGCCGGCCGAAACAAGCACACCTCCGTTTCCACCTGATCTGACCCGGCCATCTCCAATCCATGGAATTAATGGACCATGTCCATGTGAAAAACAACTTAAACCAATCATTAAGGGCTCCACCACCAGTCGATCGAGTAGCAGTGTTAGTACGATCCCTTGACAGACCAGACCAGCTGATGCTGCGATGTGTGTGCCTCCATGGTAGGTTGATAAGATGCAGTCTTCATACTCGTCTTTGTCATGCACGCTACCAACAAACTCCATCGTGATTAATGACAATGAGAATGGATTGAATAAAATTCTATTACCTGCCCGCAGGTAAATGCTAATAATGTAGGTTTGTTTTCTGTTCTTTGTTGTTGGCTTTTTTGCTATTGTGAAATGTGAATTGTGATGCAAACCTTTTATTGCTCCAATAGGCAATAGCCCATGGGTGGTTGATAGGTCCACTTTTGTTATTTTGAATTTTGAATTACCTCTTACCATTAACCAAAG